ATGCCCTTCATCATTGCATGTGGTTTACTTTGTGTCAATGTGTATTCTAAATATTTTATCTTTCTTTCATTTCTCCCAGTGTTTAGCTTTATTTGTGGCATGTCTTTGTCATGATTTAGACCATCGAGGAAAGAATAACGCCTTCATGGTAAACAATTCGACACCATTAGCAGCCGTGTATAGTACATCAACAATGGAACATCATCACTTCAACCAAACAGTCACAATATTACAGGTAAGATTCCCGTAATTAAAACGGTGACTGCACGTAGTCATGCATGTGAAGCTACCAGAAAGAGAGAACCAAAGCCATATGGATGGAACGAGGATTTTTTGAATTTTACTGACATTCCTGCACTTACTATGTAGATGGTACTTTTTCACCAATTTCTAGGCTGAAATCAATAAACAAACAATCTATGCTCATCCATGCATAAAAAGAAATAAATCACCGTCCTTTCTATTGCTGATACCTCTAGCTGTGTCTACTCTGCTGGTGTTAGTGATGTTTTTAATCCCTCCACGAATAAAAATTATTTCCAAATCCTATTCAAGCTTAAAGGCCCAATTCACTTGCCCAGGGCAAGTGTGAATTGGAGGTGTGGCTATTCTAATGCATGGTGTTAATCACTTGCATAGCCTATGACGCATCCTGTTTCAGCGATCCAACATCACATGACTTTGATTGACAGTACTAATTATTCAAGATTAGTCACGCATCCCTTTCCCCGGTTCATGTTTTTTACTTTTATCCGCCAAAATCTCAGCTCGTACACTATTTATTGTCATAAATACTACACACAATCACTGCTGTGATATTCATAGTCACATGCATCCACTTTGGCACGACATAATATACCTGTAAGTTCGAGAAAACATGTTTTTACCGGAGCTTGGCTGGAGCTGTTTACTACAGCGTGACAAGCAAGGAAATAATCCCTATTGTTTAGGAGCGTATTTATAGTATACCTGGACCTTTAAAGTGTTGTGGTGCAAGTCACTGTTATTATTGTTATTTTTCGTCTTGCAGCATGAAGGACACAACATCTTTAGGAACCTAACTGCAGAGGAGTACAAAACGGTGATTGGTGATGTCAAACACGCAATCCTGGCAACGGATTTGGCGCTGTTCTTCGGCAATAAAGATAAACTTAAAGCAATAGTTGACTCAGGGAAGTTCAATTGGGAGAATCCAGAACACAGGTAAGATATGTAACAATAGTCATGTGACCAATCATCATGTGACCATAGTCATGTGACCAGTCATAATGTGGTCAGTCAAGTTGAACATAATACCAGAGACATTTAATAATTACGTGAACATTATCCTGTGATGTTTTAGTGCATGAGTGTCGATTACAAGATTAAAAATGAGTCTTACAGGAATCAATTGAAGTACTGATTATGAATATAGCTGGTTGTTGAAATGTAACAATAGATCTCACAAAAATATTATTTCTTTCATTAATATGTTAATTAATGACAACTGGAATGGTGTAATAAATTAACATTTCGATAAAATATAACGTGTGTGTTTCGAACTTATCATACTGTATTTATATTCTACAATTGTACATTTCTTGTTTATATCATACACTACAATGTGTGCGCACAACATATATTGCACTCCCTAGTATGCCTGCAAACTTGATATTTGAACTCCCTAGTACACTCACAATGTTTGAACTCCCTAGTATGCTCACAAATCACAATGTTTAAACTCTCTGGTGTGCTTAGAAACTACCATGTATGAACTCCCTAGTATGCTTGTAAACCTCTTATTCGAACTCCCTAGTATGTATATAACCTCAGTTTGGACTCTCTATTATGTTCAACGATAACAATGTTTGAACTCCCTAGTATTCTTACAAACCACACTGTTTAACTCCCTAGTATGCTTACAAACCACATATTTGAACTCCCTGGTATGCTTACAAACCTCACAGTTTAAACTCCCTAGTATGCTTACAAACCTCACAGTTTAAACTCCCTAGTATGCTTACAAACCTCACAGTTTTAACTCCCTAGTATGCTCACAAACAGCACTACCCGGTATTTTAACTCCCTAGTATGCTTACAAACAATACTGTTTTAACTCCCTAGTATGCTTACAAACAATACTGTTTTAACTCCCTAGTATGCTTTACAAACAATACTGTTTTAACTCCCTAGTATGCTTACAAATCACACTGTTTGGAATCTTCAATCACACTGCTACTTAACCTAACATGATCATCGTTATTAAATACTAAATATCAGAATTTAAGTTATTTAGTGAATATTTGTAAAATCGAATAATATACACTATTCATGCCATGTAATAGAAATAGTTAAGAAATAGTTAAGGGAGGTATGCACACGCATGTTAGTGATTATGTAAATTACTTTCATAAATGTAGAATATGCATCTGATACATTTGTGATAATCTTCTATGTAATGGCACTACCTAATCATTTGCATAATCAATAATTCATTAATATTAATTAATTCTCTTCTTTTTAATGCTGCATTTGGGGATTTATCTTGTCTGTTTCCATGAAAACCACATTTTGTTCATTATTACTAATATGGCAGAATGCGAACACGAGCACTAAGTATGACTGCATGTGATCTGTCTGCTGTCATGAAACCATGGGCGGTGCAACAAAAAACTGTTAAAGTCATCTTCGATGAATTCTATTCACAGGTACTTTTATAAAGACAAGAAAGAAATGTAATCTGCATGCTTATATATGTGTAATAAACCTGTTTTGTTGTCAGAGAAACCAATGAGTCATGGTACAGCGCCCTCGCTTTCATGAATAGTGCTCTGTCTGTTATGAACAGCGCCCTCAATTTTGTAATTAAGAGAGGGTACTTGATTTGCTAACTTGAATTATATCCAACAAAAGAAGGTTTCTCTTACTGCATGATAAGTTTATGAATTCATATAATTGTGATGTTGTTTTTTTTTGCTGTGATCAATGTCTTTTTAGTTTAATGCATGTTTGTGTGTTTGTTGTGTGTTTTCAACGTTCTTCTAGATATTTAAGAAATGCCATTGCTATGACCGGGGCTGATCTTTGTGCCAACTCTAAGCCTTACCAAGTGAACAGAAAAGTGGTCACCGATATATTTGAAGAATTCTGGCAACAGGTGGAGTCTTTGCTCTTCTCTTTTCACCACACACTGCAGTGCTGGAATATGCCATATTTTTAAAATCTGCTACATTCCCGGGGCAGTGTTTGTGATTCTTGCAATATGTGCTTGCTTTTACTAGTAAATAGATGAACAAAAACTGCAGTTTAATGTAAGAATCAATATATATGATAGAGGATACCAAATGAGTGACCCTACAATATCTTACGTTTTAAACGAGTATAATAATTTTGGCAAATAACAAATGAAAATTACTTCCCCAGTTTAACCTTTTCACCACCAGTTCCCTGTTTTCAGCACAAATTTACAAAATAGTCCTGTTTATAGTCTTCCCTTGACGATTGGAACAAAAATAGTATATTTTTTTGGATGAAAACTGAAAATTGACTCAAATTTTGTCTGTTGACTTTAAAATTGGGGTTCATTTCCAGAAATATTGAAGAATACATGTATAAGAAAAAAGTTCAGAAAAATGTGGGCGAGAATGTCTGGTGGTGAAACGGTTAATAAATCTGATATTGTAGAACATGATCGTAATTTATGACATCATAAAGTATCCTGGCTAATTTGCATAATTGATCGCTGTTCATGAACACCAATTGCGATTGAGAAATATCATATTTATTTATATTAACAGGTTTGAAGTAATTCAAACCATTGCCTTTTCACAGTCTGTGAAAAACTGAACTTTGACACAATAGCTCTGTGTCTTACAATTGATTTACAATTGAAGTAGATCTGAGCGAGGTACAGAAAAAATAAGCGGGCGTTCATTTTATAATTTGTGTCATACAAATTGTGCTTTTATTTTGATTAACCTGGAAAATAAATAATCTATACATTTTTAACTGAGTAGCATGATGACCAGAAACTTGAATATTTTTTTTTTCTAAATAGAGTTATCAGTATCTTGCTTGGATTGGTTTAACTGTTGTACAATGTCTCAGTTTAGTTCCAAAGTTAGACTGCCCTCAGTGTTGTAATTTATGTTCTGATGGTAGAAAAACAAATTAGAAAACATATACAATATTACAGAAATCATCTGTTCTTAAATAACTTGGTAAATGTCAATGTCTTGAAATTTCTAATGTGCAAAAATTATTAATTTACATAATTGCTATATTGTACTTATGTTTGATTTGCCACTTATTTTTATTTATCCAATAAACACTAATATTGTCTGATTGATTTTGAATATTGAAGAAAATAGATAGATCAAATTATACTCTCAAATTTCTGTATGGGTTCCCAATATGTCTTAATAATATGTCAAAATAATGAATGGGTTCAGGAAATTGGCATATAATTTTATAAAAACAAAAGCATTGGGTTCTGAAAAACAAAAGCATTGGGTTCTGAAAAACAAAAAAATTGGCATCTAAAAACAAAAGAACCATGGATTTTTAAAAACATAAGATCAAGTTTATAAAAGAAAAACAAAAACTATAAATTTTCATGTATGAATCTAATCAGGTTAATAATAAGACAAAAATATCAGGTTCATAAAAACAAAAAAATTGGAATGTAAAAATGCCAGGAGGAGAACATGGAAATTATTCTGTTTTAACTTTATTTTTTGTGGTTATCGTAGGGAGACGAGGAGAAGAATCAAGGTCGACAGCCTATTCCAATGATGGATAGAGATCGGGCACATGAACTACCAGCCAATCAGGTAATCAGTAATCTGTTAACTAATTATGTTCAGAATTGTACATCAGCAAATCTTGTGTACTAGTATGTATACTGTTCTTATGACTTCATAGATGCTGATCACATGACATGTATGCTGTTCACATGACATAATGCTGATAATATGACATGGATGGTGGTCACATGACATATATACTGATCACATGACATATATACTGATCACATGACATATATACTGATCACATGACATAAAGCTGATGGTGGTCAAGTGGAACTAATTATAAGTGATTACCATAGTATGACTTTGTTGAAAGTCATGTACATTTCTTTGCTGCAATGAAATATAACAAAATTTCTTTCTTTTTCTCAATGACAGGTTGGTTTCATTGTCGGCATTTGTCTGCCATGCTATGAATTATTAGCTAGAGTATTACCAGGGTCAAAGCCAATGATGGAAGGCACAGCGTAAGTACAAATAAAAAGAATTGATCAGTATCTCCATTTTTGCTTGCACTCATTGAACAATCAGTCTCACTTACAGATTTTCTAAAAAGCAAAGACAGGATAAAAAAAGTGGTAGAAATTAGGGAATTTTACCAAACATCTGTGAAATAAAGGAATCATTTGATGTTTGGAAACAGTATGTGTTCCTTTTTTGAGTTGCAGGGCTACTGTAAAATATTTTTATTTTAGCTGGAATTCATTTTCACTTAAAAGGCTTTTTAGATGTTTTGTATTGATTATATTTTGCCTGATTGTTGAATTTAGTTGAATATAAATAAAAATTGGTATATTTGCTTGATTTTATTTTCACAGAAACATCCTTTCAGCGAAAATAGCGAAAATAATATATATTTTATAATTTTGACAGTATATTGTTTGAACTGTGTATAAATGTCGTTATTTGGATAGAATAAATAAAATATGACTCATTATTGCTCATTTTTTCACAGGAAAAACCTTCAGAATTGGTCTGCACTTGTAGCAAAACAGAAAGCTGAAGAAGAAGCTAAGAAACTAAAAATGATAGAAGAGGCTGCGGATCCAGTCGGGGTGAAAGAAGAAAAAGAAAATGCGACATAGGTTTTAAAATTGATTTGAGAAAATGTTTGGGAATTCTGCCTTAATACTCTCAATGAATAATGGAAGTTTACAGTCAACTACTTTTTTTCACCATGGTCTCTTTCTGTTAAATCTCTTATATATACTTATACATACAAATACCCCTTGTATGGTGTTTCTATGGAAATGAACATGATGATACTTTTACTTACCAAAATGATAGTTTTGTAATTTGTAGTGAACTACATACAGTTAACTAGTGACATGTGCTAGTTACTGAAACGTCACATTATTAAAGCTGTCATGTATGCGATATTTGTTTTATGTTTACAAATCTAATAATGCAAAATGTATTTGTTGCTTTGCAACAAAATTATCAATAAATAATCTAATAGAGAAATGTAGATGTTTGAAGAGCGATATTTTACGTAGATACAACGGTATATATGAAGTAGTTAGATCATAATTGTGCAATACACATCACGGGATACTGAAAATAATAATGTCACTGACATTTCAATAAATATTTCCCAAGGAATCTGATTTTAATGAATGCGTATTCCAGCGGAAAATGTACAATTTTCAGTGTAGGACAAATAGGCCTTTTAACTTTGGAATAAAGAGTAATAAAGTTTTTTTTTTTGTAAATTTAATAAGCTCAATATTTTAAGACGGATTTTAAGAAAGATATTGAATGAACAAAGAATATAATTTGTTAAGCCTATTTAAAAAATACTATGTTTAAAATTTGTTTCTGTTCGTTGCCAATCTGTAAGTTTTGGTTCATCTAGGGAACCCAGAAACATTCTATAGAGGCTCATTTTTACAGCAAACTTAAGGAGTATCATTGTAAGTAATCGTGATTGTATTTTTGCCACAAACTTAAGGAGTATCATTATAACGAATGGTGTTTACATTCTCCTTTAGTTGCCCAGGAAACCAGTTACTGAGATTTTTTATGTCGACCCCGATATATTTAATGCAGATACTTTTTTATTGTGATATCAAGAAACATTATTTTTGTGGTGAGTTAAGGGGTCAATCTGCAGAAAACTGGGTACATGTAAATATGTAATTACTGTATGTCTACTTAGCATTACCTCAATAATATTCAATATTTTTAATTGTTTTAGAATTTAGATTTTAATAAAATAATGTATATGTTGTACATTTTGATCTTTTTTCTATGTATTTTGCAAGAAATAGCTATAAAACTATATTGCTGTATATAAAAATGCTGACATTTTCTGCACTTTTATTATCCTTCCGTGTATTCATAACAGCAATTTGATGCAAAGTTATACGAGATGTAATTCCTGGTATATGCAAGTATTTCTGCATAAATTTTGGTAGAATTCACTTATTTAGCATTTTTGTTATGCATCAGTTTAAATAGTCTGAGTCATGAAATGTGAATAAAGCTCTTACAGAATTTGCAACACTTACCAACACACACCTTCAGGAAGATTCAGGTTTATTTTTTCACATGTCGCCACTAGGGGGCCTTTAAACAGCTCCCTCTAGTGATGGGTATTGAGTTTTTCATATTTATAAAGCATTTGTTATGGAAGTTATTTTATAAGTGTGGTATTGAAAATCTGAATTTGTGGGAACTATTGATTTGTGACAGTTTTCATAATGGTTTAGTTGTGGTAAGTCGAGCCTGGTAATTGTGTTACCTAAATGTAAAAGTAACTTATTCTTTAAAAGGGCATCTATAGCATTGTTTATTTCTAATCATTGGTATATTGACAATCTGACCAAAGAATTATTTTTAATTTCACTCCTTTTGCTGATAAGTGAAATCCGCTAAATTCAATCAATGTGATCCTGTAGAATTACAATAGAACTTGTTTTTCTATTGATAAATCCGTTAATTTTAATGTCCGTGAATAAACTCAAAATATCGAAACAATGACATCATATATTCGTGAAAATTTATGCATCTATGTATTATTTCAGATATGATGTCATCATGCCTTCATATTATTTATGAATTCATCAATTTTTATAGTAAATAGAGGGTGCCATTTATGTATTAGGGGTGGTGTTTGTAACAATGACTGACAGATATTTCTCTATGGGAAAACATTTGCTGACGAAATATTATTAAATATTATTATCATATTATGCATTATTATAAAATTACATATTCATATTGCCCCTTTGGTTCAACAAGTTTATAAAATGGCACCCTCTATCAGATATGTGTATTCAGAAAAAAAATGTATTCTTTTTTTCATATAAAGATCAGTTTTTTTTTTTGCATTTGATAATCAAAGTATTTTTTTATCCATCAAGCACAGATTGATAATTCAACATATGAATTAGGATGCACTTTATATGAGAAGTTAAACATGCAGGAATCTTGTTAGGGAAGTATAATAATTAACATGGCACATTTGTTCAATAATGTTATTGTTACATACATTATTTTCAACCTATCTCTGTATATCATACTCACCATAAGAAAAAGTGGAAGTTCGTTCATTTCGACTACATAGCCGACATGTACAACTTGTAATGCAGTCAATATTTGTGCACTTAGATATTTATAAAAATGTACTTAGCATGTA